GGTGCCCAGAATTGGACACAATATTCCAGGTGTGGTCTAACCAAAGCAGAATAGAGCATGGGGAGCATGACTTCCCTAGATTTAGACACTATGCTCCTATTGATGCAGGCCAAAATCCCATTGGCTTTTTTATCCTTCCCACCAGTGAGCAACCGGGTATTATTTCCTGGAGGATGGACTGGTTGGATCTTCTTGTGGTCCAAGGCACTTTCAGTATTTTCCTCTGGCACCACAGTTCAAAAATGTCTCTCCCTTCACCCAGCCTTCCATATTGCCCATCTTTCGCATCCATAGGTTACTACGGGGAATACCATTGCTTTAACTATGTGGATCTTCGTTGCCAGTGTGATGTCTCTACTCTTCACTCTTTTATCGAGATTGGTCCTTGCTCTCCTCTGAAAAAGGAAATGTCTCCTGGCTGCAGTCTGTGTCTGCAATCATCTTCACGCAAGAAATACAAAGTCTGCACTGCCTCCACGTTTTCTCCTTCTATTTTCCAGTTATCAATCAGTCTGGTTGCCATCATCTTAGTTTTTTTTTTGATGTTCAACTGCAACCCAGCTTTTGCACTTCCTTCTTTCACCTTGGTTAGAAGGCTCCTCAGCCCCTCCACAATTTCAGCCATCAAAGTGGTATCATCTGCATATCTAAGGCTGTTCATGTTTCTTCCAGCAATTTTAACTCCAGGCTTGGATTTGTCAAGCCCTGCACGTCGCATGATGTCTTCTTCTTCTTGGTTGAATAGGGAGGATGAGAGTAGACAGCCCTGCCGTACTCCGTTCCCAATCTTGAACCAGTCTGATGTTCTGTGGTCTGTTGTTTCTGTTGCTACGTGGTCGTTATACAGATTCCTCAGGAGACAGGAAAGTTGACTTGGGATTCCCAAACGTACCACCAAGAACTTGCCACAATTTATTATGATCCACACAAAGGCTTTAGAATAGTCAATAAAACAGAAAGATATGTTTTTCTGAAACTCCCCACCTTTCTCCATTATCCAACGGATATTGGCAATTTGGTCTCTTGTTCCTCTGCCTTTTCTAAACCCAGCTTGTACATCTGGTAACTCTCTCTCCATATATTGCTGGAGTCTATCTTGCAGGATCTTGGGCATTACCTTACTGGCATGTGAAATAAATGCCAAAAAGATAAAAATAAAGTGCTTAAAGGGATTTAGTTGTCCCAATTCTCCTCTCTGGAAAAAGTTTTTCCCATAGAAGATGATCTCTCCCCATACAGTGACATTGGTTTGGAAAAGCTGGACCAACTGTGGTCTCTTAGACAAAGATTAAACAGAGATATATGGGAATATATTATCTTTTCAGAAAGTGAAAAATAGAAACTGCCACTTCTCTCTGCAGGTTAGGGATCAAGGACCATAACTTTGTGTTGCTTTTTAAAATGTATAGCACTCTAGACTTCAGCCAGACTGATTTTGGCATTAAAATAAAACAAGCATCCTTCTTACTACAAACCAGATCCTGTTGTCCAGCATAATGAGTTTAAATTGTCCCTGGTTATTGTTTATGCTCTTACTATATATCAGTGGTTCTCTACCTGGGGATTGCAACCCCTTTGGGGGTTGAATGACCCTTTCACAGGGGTTGCCTATGACCATCAGAAAACACATATTGCCGATGGTCTTAGGAACCAAGACACCGCTAACTTCTCCCCACACCCTTCACTTCCCAGAGGCCTCTTCTTCTTCTCTGGAGGGAGGTGGTGATGTCAATCAGCCCCATCCCCTCTGCCCTCTCCACCATTTTAGGAGGAAGAGACGGGAGTGAGGGAGGTGAGGTTTGGATCCAAGAGGGAAGAGGAAGGAGGAGAGAAGGGAGAAGGTGAGGGAGGGCTAGGGAGGATGGGCCTGGGGGGAGGGCAGGCTTAGAGAGGGGTGGAGTGTCCCCTCATGGCTGAATCTCAGGGAGAAAGTTAAGTAACAATGAAAATACATCCTGCCTATCAGATATTTACATTATGATTCATAACAATAGAAAAATTATAGTTATGAAGTAGCAATGAAAATAATGTTATGTATTGTCGAAGGCTTTCATGGCTGGAATCACTCAGTTCTTGTGGGTTTTTCGGGCTATATGGCCATGTTCTAGAGGCATTTCTCCTGACGTTTCGCCTACATCTATGGCAAGCATCCTCAGAGGTGAGACCTCACCTCTGAGGATGCTTGCCATAGATGCAGGCGAAACGTCAGGAGAAATGCCTCTAGAACATGGCCATATAGCCTGAAAAAACCCACAAGAACTGAATAATGTTATGGTTGGGGGTCACCACAGCATGATGAACTGTATTAAAGGGTCGCGGTATTGGGAAGGTTGAGAACCACTGCTGTATATGTTCTTCCTGACTGCATTGCTGGAAAGAACTATATGACCAGAAATGTCAAATATGTGTGAGATTGAAAAGGATGCTTCAGAATAGATCCAAACTCTGGCTTATCTAGCCCTTCTGCCCTGCATTTGGTGGATGCTAATTGCCTTTTCACCTTCTGGTTAATAGTGGCAGTTTATGATCCATTTTTCTCCTGAACTTAGTGATGTTTTGAGTAGTTGCTGCAAGAAAGCAACATTCAGTTGCTCAGTTGAGGATATTGGTTGCTCTTTGAGGGAAGTGGAGGGAGTCTGCGGGACTGTTTGACATTGTGATAGGTCTGCATTAGTGTCAAAGCTGATGATGGCAGAAATGCCTTGCCTGGGTTGATGGACCTTTCATCTGCTTGGCAGCTTTACAGTAAAGACTTGCCTATCAATCAGGGGCTGCCACAAGAGAAGACGTATCTCCTGAAAACATCCTTGACTCCTGCAGTTTGAGAGTAAAGTCTCTTTAGGCAGCATCGAAATTGGGAAGTGTGAAGTTTCCGCACATGGTAGGCCATGCTGACCCGTTGAACCCTTTCGTAGCTTAATTTATGTGGACACTTTGAAGCAAAATGTCCATTTTGGGGTAGCTGTGCCCGATCTACCTGTCCAACCCTCATCCACCTTCCCTGTTCCCCTTCATTAACTCTCTTTCTGTTGCCTGAAGCTGTCCTTTGGTTTCATCCGATGAGCCATCACCAACCTCTCCAGTTTGACCTTTCATTTCCAAAAGTGTTTTGAACACATCCATAACATTTCCAGCAGGTATTCCCACCTTCCTTTTCACACTGAATTTATATGCCCTTCTTCAACCTGGTAGATTATTAAACATTTGACGTTTTGACAGCCAGGTTGGAGACGGCCCCAGAATCTTGACTCTAGAAATGCTGGGTTATAGATTTGTTAGCCTTACAGGTACGATTTCTGAAGTGCAACTTTTTTTTTCATTGGATGGGTAGAGTGGAAGAGGTGCCAATTCCTTTTGAGATCCTTCCTATACGGGCAAAATAAATTAATAACTTCTCCTGACTGGCTTTTCCCCCTGAGGGGAAGCGTACAGGAGAAGCATTTCAGTGCTGTTAGGTTGGCAAAGAGAAACAGATTTCTCTCAATAATTCATAGGACACTAGTGAGAAAAGAGACTTGAGATCACAAAGGGTCCTTCTTGGAGTTTTGACAGGCTGCAGAGACGGAGTTTTTGCTGTCCAATCTGCAGAAGTTTTGGCAAGGGAACTGGATTATCCAAGCTGGTATTGTTTCTCTGGATATTGTACACTGCTGAGGAACATCTGGAAAATCAGCCAACTGTGAAGGAAGGAAAGGTGATGGCCCCAGAGAGACTGTTGTGTATTGTAGCTCACAATTAATCATTGCTCGGTTTCTCATAGAGTCAGTGCAGCTTCCTGAGGAGATAACTCCATAGTAATGCTAAGTGATTGGTTTTTGGGTTGCTGGGATTTATAGTTCTTCTACAATCAAGGAACATTCTGAACACCACCAACGATGGAACTGAACCAAACTCTGCACACAGAACTCCCATGACCAACAGAAAATACTGGAAGGGTTTGGTGGGCAATTCACTTTGAGTTTTGGAGTTCTATTTCACCTACATCCAGAGAGCACTGTGGACTCAGAGTCTGATATGCAGGATGTATTTTCATTCACTGGACCAAACTTGGCGTGAATACTCAATATGCCCAAATGTGAACACTAGTGGAGTTTGGGGGAAAATAGGGTTTGACATTTTGGAGTTGTAGTTGCTGGGATTTATGGTTCACCTACAATCAAAGAGCATTCTGAATCCCACTAATGATAGAATTGGACCAAACTTCCCACACGTGACCAAAAGAAAATATTTTCCTATGGATTTTGGTGACCTCACTGACACCTCCTTGCGAACCCCCAGGGGTCCTGACCCCCAGGTTGAGGAATGCTGGATTAAGAGAATATACATGTATGTGTCAGTTCATATGCTAGTTATTTCATCTTAGGATAAGGAACTTTGGTGAACTGGTTGAATCTTATGCTATATACAGATCTAAAATAGTTCATGAAATAGGTGTAGACTCGTCATACCCTTTATGCAGCTGCTGTCAAATTGTGGATGGAAATGTTGTTAAAACTTCACTCTGTGTTATGTAGCAGGCCATCTAAATCCTGTTTGATGTGGTAAGCGTTGCATCTGCGGTGTTAGTACACAATGCTCACTGGAATCTGTTTTAGTGCTCATTTTAGCTCCTGTCTCCTGAGTAACATGTTGATGCTTTTCTGAATCCGATTGTATACCAAAGAGGCCATTTCGCTTTGTACTGTTTCTGTTTTTAATTCTTTTCGCTGTGTATTTTTTATGTGGCAGAGGAGGCAACACATGTGAATCTGCCTCTGTGAGCAACATAGCTTTCTAATGAAAAGTTTATTTAAAGGCAATGTATTCCCCATTCCAATATTTTTGTTTAATTAGAATTGTCAACAATAGTGTCAGAGATGTAGAGGTAGAACTATAAAGCAGGAAAACAGCCTTCTCTCCCAGGAGGAAAGGAATGAAAACATTGCTTCTCTGGCAGCTAGAACATGCAGCCTGGATCTGCTTAGTAAAAAGCGGTTGTTTCCTTTTCTTCATTGCAACAGGCACGCGATGGAATGAGAGCAATCCTGGATTCCTACGACAACGAACTGAACCCATCAGAGCTCTCTCCCCAGCTGACTTTCCGCGTTCGGGAGGCTGAGGAAATGGTGCAAAGGGTAGAAGCGCACTGTGCTGAAATAGAGGTAATGCGGAATCCTGGTGTGCATTGTGTAGCCTCCCATCTCATCTTTGGTTTGTGCTTTAAGGAGATAGACATCTGGGTTTGCTTATCCAAATAAGCCACATTTCTGTTACCCATGGTTGGTTGCTTAAGCCACAAAGTGTCCTGCAGATGACCAAATTGTAGTGTATCTCCCCTATCTAGAATAATAGAGTTGGAAGAGACCACATGGGTCATCCAGTCCAACCCCCCGCTATGCATAAAAAGCACAAAGTGTTACTTATTTATTTATCGCATTTGTATACTGCCTTTCTCAGCCAGAGGCGACTCAAGGCAGTTCATAGTTGGCAGCGATTCGATGCCATAACAAATATCAAAATACAGTTAAAACAATTATTAAAACAATTAAAATGTAACATAAAAAGGAAATATATCTGTAAAAACAAGATCCTCGGCATCTCCTTGCTAAAATCGTTGTCTAGTTGCATCGTCAGTCATTCCATATATTCGTTTACCTCTAATTATGTTCCAGTAGAAAAAGCTTGCTCGAAGAGCCAGATCTTAACCATTTTGCAGAATGTCAGAAGGGAGGGAGCCAATCGTATATCTCTGGGGAGGGTGTTCCATAGCTGAGGGGCCACCACTGAGAAGGCCCTGTCTCTCATCCCCACCAAATGCGTCTGTGATAAAGGCGGTATCAATAGCAGGGCCTCTGCAGACGATATTAAAGTCCTAGATGGTTCATAAGGACAGATATGTTTGGATAGGTAAGCCGGACCAGAACTGTTTAGGACTTTATAGGCTAAAGCCAGCAATTTGACTTGTGCCCGTTAGCAGACTGGGAGCCAGTGGAGCAGGCACAATAGAGGAGTTGTGTGCTCCCTGAGTGCTAATCCCATTAGCAACCTGGCTGCCGCTCGTTGCACCATTAGGAGCTTCTCGGCAGTTTTCAAAGGCAACCCCATGTAGAGAGTGTTGCAGTAGTCTATATGGGATGTAACCAGAGCTGTCAAATACACCTGACAGATGGCCATCCAGCCTCTGTTGAAAAGCCTCCAAAGAAGGAGCCTCCAACACACTCTGAGGCAGAGAGTTCCATGGTTGAGCAGCTCGTATGGTCAGGAAGTTCTTCCTCATGATCAGGTGGAATCTCCTTTCCTGTCATTTGAACCCACTGCTCATTGAGTCCTTGTGTCCATGGCAGCAGATGACAAACCTGCTACCTTTCCTTATGACATTCTTTCAGATATTCAAACAAGGCGATCATGTATCCTCTCAACTTTCTCTTCCAGAGGCAAAACAGACCCAGCTCTTTAAGATGCTCCTCAGAGGGACTCATGATATCCAGACCTTTAATTCTTTTACCCTCCTCTGGACACCTTCCATCTTAGAATCAGTATATCTCTTAAAGTGTGGTGCCCAGAATCGGACATAAAATGATTCCGGATGTGGTTGGACCAAAGCAGAATAGAGAGGCACCATGACTTCCCTTGATCCTTTGGATACAGTTCAAAATCCCATTGGCTTTTTAAGCTCCTGCATCACATTGTTGGCTTATGTTTAACTTGTTGTTCAGAATGGACTGTTGTTGAGCCAGTCGTCATCCATTCTGTTTCATTTCTTTTCATTATTGTCTGCCTTTAGTGTAAGATGTCCTATAGCAGTGGTTCTCAACCTTCCTAATGCCATGACCCCATAATATAGTTGGTCATGTTGTGGTGATGCCAACCATAAAATTATTTTCGTTGCTACTTCATAACTGTAATTTTGCTACTGTTATGAATAGTCATATAAATATCTGATATGCAGAATTTATTTTCATTCACTGGACCAAATTTGGCACAAATACCCAATACGCTGAAATGTGAACACTGGTGGAGTTTGGGGAAAATAGACCTTGTCATTTGGGAGTTGTAGTTGCTAGGATTTATAGTACACTAATTAGCTCACTAATCAGAGAGCATTCTGAACTCCATCAACAATGGAATTGAACCAAACAATAATGGATCGGAAATATTATTATTTGGCAAAAATACTCAATATGCCCAAATGTGAACACTGGTGGAGTTTGGGGAATATAGACCTTGTCATTTGGGAGTTGTAGTTGCTAGGATTTATAGTTCACCTACAATCAAAGAGCATTCTGAACTCTATCAACAATGGAATGTTGAACTAAACTTGACATACAATGAACCAATCCTGGAAGGGTTGGTGGGCGTTGACCTTGAGTTTCAGAGTTGTAGTTCACCTACATCCAGAATGTACTGTGAACTCAAATAATGATGGATCTGAACCAAACTTGGCAAAAATACTCAATATGCCCAAATGTGAACACTGGTGGAGTTTGGGGAAAATAGACCTTGACATTTTGGAGTTCTGGATGCTGGGACTTATAGTTCACCTAAAATCAAAGAGCATTCTGAACCCCACCAACGATAGAATTGGGCCAAACTTCCCACACAGAACCCCCATGACCAACAGAAAATACTGTGTTTTCTGATGGTCTTTGGCAACCCTTCTGACACCCCCTTGGGACCCCCTCAGGGGTCCTGACCCCCAGGTTGAGAAACACTGAGCTATATGATAGAGAAGGGAGGTGTCATACAGTTGGTTTCCCAAATGTCTTAATCTGTTCCTCAAGTCAAAAAACTTTATTTTCTTTAGCAGACTTTTCACGCAGGCTAACTACTGCCTTTCTTTCATACATCTCTATCTTTTCGTACCTTTCCTAATTTACATTATAATAAAGCTAAAATGTCATTTCCTTGTGGTGCATTTCTTGGGGTGATGCAGGTTGTAGTCTGCGGTGTAACCTGTCCTCTCCTCCTTCCCCGGCTCGATTCCCAGTCTCCGTTCAATAGACATTTTGCTTTTGACATTAATTAACAGCCTGCGTAGCTGTGAATACTGGATAGTGGATATGTATGACGAAGAATGCAATTTTGGTCAAAATTATTCTGTTTTTTCCTGAAATATTATATCTAATAAGACAATGGAAAATATTCCAGAAGATTTTGAACAGTTAGCTCACTAATCAAAGCTAAGAGATTAATGCCCCAGAGGAACTGCTTCTGATATACAATCCATCCGGACCATAACGAAGTGCTCTGTTTGAGAGCTCTGCTGTGTCGAATATTTTCTATTTCCTTCCATCTTATCATGAGGAGAGGAGAGTCCTGGTTAAGTTGCATTTTCGTCTTAATGGGTCTGTTACTGTGCCAGACCTTTGACCCTCTTGCGAGCACACTTTGTTACTTAATTGTCAGATTCCTGAGATGAAAATTTGACAGTTGTGCCCAGAACATTTTCTGCAAATGTCCAACATCTCATGAGCAAAAAAAGCTCTTAAAGTTGACCATTTTAGAAATCTAGAACCAAACACAAAATGATGGAAATGGTAATTCTTTCATACTTACTTCCCTCTCCCCACAACATAACAAGATATTCTCTTTTAGATCTATAATGGGGAAAACTTGCCTCTCTGAAGAACAGTTCCCATCATCCTGGATCACGGGCCATACTAGCCTGGAATGTTGGGAATTGGAATCCATCAACATTTGGTAGTCTCTTGATGGTGTGATGAGTTCGCTAAAGAAAGTAGATGAAACTAAATGTCACATCAGTGTGGTAATGAACATAAATGGCACTGTTTCACAAGGTTGTTTACCATAGAATATCTGCTTGTGGAACATCCCAATTTGTAGGGCACCACAATTGAAGGGAGATGTTGACTCTAAGCTGGAATGTGTCCAGAGGAGAGCGACTAACATGATCAAAGGTCTGGAGAACAAGCCCAATGAGGAGTGACTTCAAGAACTGTGCATGTTGAGCCTATAGAAGAGAAGGCTGAGAGGAGGCATGATGAGTGCCATGTAGAAAGAAGTGAGGGGAAGTCATAGGGAGGAGGAAGCAAGTTTCCTTGCTGCCCTGGAGACTAGAACGCAATAGAACAATGGCTTCAAATGACAGGAAAGGAGATTCCACCTAAAAATGAGGAAGAACTTCCTGACTGTGAGAGAGAGCTGTTCAGCAGTGGAACTCTCTGCCCTCGAGTGAAGGCTCCTTTTAAACAGAGGCTCAGGGGAGAGAAGGGCGGGGTATAAGTACAATAAATGAATGAATAAATAAATAAATGACCATCTGTTGGGGGTACTTTGAACGCTTTATTCCTGCTTCTTGGCTGGGGGTTGGACTGGATGTCCCACATGGTCTCTTCCAACACAGTGGTTCTATGATTCTATAGTATTTTCCCATCTAGCCGAAAGAAAATCATGGGGTTTTGTTCACGGTAAGCAAAATTTGATACCCCTTAACCAGGGTTTGCCATTGTTTTTGAGAGGCAAGTGACGTTAAAGTTGGCTTTGAAATGGTTAACATCAGTAACGTGTCTCCATGAATGTAACTCTATTCACAGTAGCTTCATTACGATGCATTTGGCGCAGCATGAAGCATTAATGAAGAGAGATTTGCAGGGGAGACTCAAGCTGACACCTTCAATAGTCCACAGCATTTTTTACACACAGAGATTTATGTTGTATGGGAACTCCGCATGTGCTCTAATCAGTTAATTATGAGCCTCGCGGTTTCCACACGTCAAGTGCCATACGTTCTAGTTGTCTTCTCCCAATAGATTATTGGTGGAGGGCCAAGGCAGGAGGGTTGATCTTGTGTTGTGGCCTGAAAATACACTGACCTGGCATTCTCACCGTTTCTTTAACCCTTAATAGCTGTAGCACATCTGCTGGCACTAACATCTGGTACTTTTGTGGTTCAGATAGAAGAAGATGAGGGGACTGGAGAGAGTGGTAGATGGTTGTTTTGATGAGGGAAATGTGGGACTTCAGAGCAAGATTCTGTCTGTGAGACGGAGTTTGAAAGTGGTACTGTTTTGGACTCCAACAGAAAGGGAGATGTCCCTTTGTCCACAAGGAGCTTAACAATCACTGATAAAGATGTGGCAGACCAAGAACACCTGGGTTAGACGGGGATATCAGACTGGATCTGAGGGAAAATAACATCAGA